GTACATTCCCAAGGAGGAGCGAACATTTTATGCACTGCCGTATTATCACTCGGATCCGCCACGCTACGGAGGCGCCACTGTCGCGGCATATCCGGAAGCTGCGGAGGATACTATGGTGAACTCTGTTACACTGTTGCCAAATATTGCTGAATGAGATTTCATAAATAGATATACAAATAACCAGGTTGAACGCAATTTTTTAGTCACAGCCGCAAGAAAAATAGTCAAAGCAACAAATCTTTTCAATCGAGGGAACAAAATGGCTCTGAAGCACTATGATGTTAAGACGATCACAGCGGAATTTCTAGTTGCTGTAACAAGAAAACGTCGCGGATGTAGCTGAGCAACACGCATTTCTTTTCAAAGATATTTTTTCATTAATCCCACGTGTTTCATCTTGAAAGAAATCCGTGGAGAATCAAACTATGGTAAATCATATTTCAGTCATTCAACTGGCGATTTCTTTTTATTTTCTTCTTGATATGGAGATGTAAACGTGCTCCTATCAAAATCAAATCATCATGTATTAATGTAATTTAACTTCATGAAACCATTATTTATCATGTTAAGAGGAGCATTGCACAGGTGATCAATGTCATTGCATTTTAGCCACCAGTTTCTTATCAGTTTTGAAAAAGAATATTTCATTTCCAAAATAGGATTATCGAACAGCATCATTTTCAAATGGATTTGCTTTTTTGTCTTCAGTTTAGGAAATAAATACAAAAGAACACACAAGTGCAAAAAAAAAGGAATGTCTGACTGGATGTTGACCGAGGAGGTAAAAATTTATACTAAGCTGGATTAGTAGACATTGCTCATAAAAAACCTCTGGAAAAACAACAAACGGAACCTGATTCTCGAAAGGCGAATAAAAAATAAAGACCGAGACCGACATTCGTGAATTTTTGTTTTGCAAGCATACGTTGATATTAGTAGAAAAGTTTAGTTTACTTAGTAAAGACAGGAAGCCCAAACACTTGTGCGAAAGAAACGCCTTCAAATAGGACGGGTAGGCCACAAAACACAGTCGTGCACGAATAGTTGTATGATGCCTTGGATTTGTATTTCTATGATTTATTTTTATGGATTTCCCTTGCGCTGCATTCAACTCTCTAAAGTGATTATTGCCTTTTGCCGTCTTCGCGATCTCTCGTGTGGTTCAGCATGAGTAAATTTTCAAATTATTATCTCTGAGTCAAGCCACCCGCGTTTGTCGGTACACCTACTTTTCTGCACGTGCGTTAAAGTCTCTAAAGTGATTCCTGCATTTTACTACCTTGGTGATCTCTCGAGGGGTTCAACATGAGCACATTTTTTTTGGTCTAATTTTCTCAAGATTTTTCATTGGGGAAGCCATAAAACTTTGAGTTTAATAGTATTGTTTATACTTGCTAAGAATTGGACCGACGTTCACGGAAAGGCGCATTTGGAAAAAAAATAGTTTAGAGTAGTTCTGAATTCATTTGGGGCGAATAAAAAATTGAGCTCAAGACAAGCAATCATGATTTATTTTGCAATCATGATGCGTTGAGATCGATAGAATTTAATTTTGAAGCGACAGGAGGCGCAAGCGCACATACGGAAGGAACGCCTTCAAATATGACAGGTAGGCCAAAAAGGACAGCCGTGCACGAATAGTTGTATGTCCTGGATTTGTAATAGCATGAGTTATTTTGATAGATCTCCGCATTTCAGACAGGACCATGCAATAAGAAGAGACAACGAGATTTCTACAAGCGCGTGTCCGAACAATTTTATCTTTTACCAAAGCAGAATAACTTTAGCACGTTTTACATGACGTAAAAATGGATTTTTTTTTTTTTTTTTTTTTTTTTCATACTGAGAATTATTTAACTGCAAGTGCTAAACAGAAATACTTGAATAGTTGGACATGTAATACTTGCAGCCCTTAACGGAGTTCAAAATGAAGTGTCGAGTAAACCAGATACCCAATTTCGCGCATGTGCCACAAAAAATTGAAAATTTATCACGTGGACTCTCTTCTTTTTTGATAAGTTTACATAACTAAAAAGGTAAACTAGTATTGTCACGTCTGCTAATAAACTGACATTCATAAAACTCAATACTATTGGGCACTATAAAAAATGTAGTTAAACACGAAATTTAAAATACATTTTCAGATATTCTCATGCCAAACTGCATTATTTTCTCACAAGACCTCCGAGGATCAAACTCCAAGCTTGCTTGCAAATTAGAGTGCATGTTTGTTTTTCTGTGGTCAAAATTTTCATGCAATTTTAAAGATTGCTTTCATCCAGACAGAAATTCTCCGAAATGGTGGACATTTTCATCTCATCCTCTTCTATAATTTTACAAAATATTGATCCGCGAAAGTTGAAATTTAAGAATCTGCGCAATTTTTCAACTTTCCTTACACTGGAAAAAAAACACATTTGATCTAGAGTCCGGACTCGTAGAAACATCGACAAGAAAAAATACTCTCGATTCAATCGGATTTTAGCTTAAATCAAGAACCAAGCCTCCTAATTTGAGCGGATTTCCTTACGATTCAAGCAAAAATCTGCAATTACAAATACTGCAAAATACAGCAATTGCGCAAAATAAGTGTAACAGGTTTTTACGAAAACTTCAGTTTGTAATCGAGAGACTTAAACGCCCTGGCAAAAAAAGAGCGGCCCAGATAAAAGTTATTTGCGGGGATCAAACGTTCAAAAAATATCCTAAAATGCACTCATATTGATGAAAACTGTCATTTTTACCAAGGAACATGCACTGGAAAAAAAACACTTTGGATCTAGAGCAGACTCTTAAAAACACCGACAAGAAAAAGTACTCTTGATTCAATCATTAACTTAAATCAAGAACCAAGCCTCCTAATTTGAGCGGATTTCCTTGAATGGATTCCTTGAATTTTCCGGATAATTTAAGCAAAAATCTGATTGAATCAAGAGTATTTTTTCTTGACAATGTTTTCAAGAGTCTGGACTCTAGATCCAATGTATTTTTTTTTTGTTTTGTTTTCCAGTGCACTGGAAAAAAAAGAATCTTAAATTTGCCGCCAAGAAGTATTTCTTCTAAAATCAAGAATTTTTCTGCTTAATATAAGCTACTTCTTTGCTTAACCCAAGCCTTATTTGTCTTGTATCAAGAAAAAGTCAGCTTAAAGCAAGATTAAAAAAATTCTTGGCGGCAAATTCAAGAATCATCATGCTTGATCCAAGCTACTTTTTTTTCCAGTGTGCAGTTTTTCAGATTTGACCAGGTCAATTTAGCCGGGAAGCCCTGGCCGTGGAGGCGGGAAAGACGTTGCGGCGCTCGAGCTGGGAGGGTTGACGGAAGTAGCCGAAGTAGGAAAAGCCCCGGAGCCTGGGACGGGGGTGGGTGTAGGCCCTGCCCCTGCGGAGTGGTAGTGGGGGGTGGTCGCGGTCCCCAGTGGGGCGTAGCGCGTAGGTCGGGGAAATGAATGGTGAATGGCGCGCGTGGACGTCGCCGCGGCCGAGGCCCGAACTACGATGCATCCACCACCACGACGACACGGGCGACCGGTGTGTGAGTGAGCTTGGTATCTCGGACTCAGCTGTTCGGCGATCAGTCGCTAGTCGCTCTTACTCCGCTTCCCGCGCACGTCTTACGTCCCGTGCTTTACTGACCTGGCTCACGCTGTCCATCCCCCACCACGCCTCCCCGAAAATCCGCTTTGTTCCATATTTTCAAAATTCAAAGGAGAGGTCCCACCAGTGACTCAGTGACGCGGCACCGTTAAATGTCTATATAAGCGCTCCAGACTTTGGGCACCGTTGTTAATCCCGTGTCGTCCTTTCGCTTGTCAACATCACGTGGTGCGAACCCGGCTTTCAGCTTTTGACCGCTCGTCGCGAATCCGTTTGTTTACTTGCGTTCGCGAGGCTTCGGCTTGCACTTGCCAACGCCATGGCTTTTTGTTACATCCTCGACCCGACTGGGTTATACTGACCGCTCCGCCGACTACCATCCCAGATGGCTTTTGCCGAGAATTTGCTTGAGATATATCCGGAAACTGCCTCAGCTCCAGTGCTCACTGCCTCCACCTCACAGGTAATTAAATCACACGTTCTCTCTTATCGGTTAATCGCTTCCCATAAATTTTAATGCTTCCTCAGGCTCGCGCTTTTTTCTCGTCAACACACTTTTTTTTTCTCGTCGTGCCTTCCTGCCTCCGGATTGTCGCATCGCGTCCGTGCGCCCCCGGCGACTCTTGCGACAATTGAAAGTTCGCGTCTTGAAATTTCGCACGACGTCCCCTTCGATTCCAAACGAAAATGCCCTGTTTTGCAAACATCGTCAAACTGCATTCCCGAAAATTTCTGAATTTTTTTCTCAATACGGTAATCTCATCCAACGCGCATCTAAATAGGCAGTCCAACTCTGAGCTATGAGATTTATTTACTTATTAACTTTGCGACCTCAGTTAGAAATTTCTGACTCTTTTCACTCCTGAAAATCAGAAGCACTGATTGTAAGTGTAATTTTGAATCTGCTGTAAACGAAGCAAGGTGTATAAAAACCGCGACTTTTCGAAAGTCCTTCTTTGAATGGGCATTGACATTTTGCATCATGCAAAAGACAACTCAAAAGTTACAATTTCTGCCATTCGTATATGTTCACAATTTTCGCGAATATATAAATATTTGAAGTATAGGTAACATTCAGTCAAATTAAAAGTACTTGTGTGCAGGAATCCCCTACTAAAGTGACATTTTGAACAAAATGCGGCTCTCAAACAAATTTCTTCCAAAATTGTTCCACGCTTAAATTTACAAATTTTATTCGCTGTAAAATATTACTAGCATGAAAATAGAATCTTCAAGCGTTGCAGGAACATACACATTAATGTTATGTCCTTGTATTAAGTATAGCTCACAGAGATTTCCTACCCCTGGCTCCCATTCGGTTCTGTATTCAAAATGCCACTCCACTCTTAAAAAACGTCGCTTGATGTTTCTCAAATTTCAATGAACCATAACTTCATGTAAAATAGATTTTTTTTAAGTTTTCTCCCCACATACCGACTAATTTTCTACAGAAATCTCTATCACATGTGCACTCTCATTGTAGATACGTATTATATCAAAGGGGGAGGGAAGAACCAAAAGTGTGTCTCCTTTTAAGAGCTTGTGGTATTCTTTCAAAATGAACGTTGTTCCCATCTGTTCGTGACGGGAAATTGGTTTTAAATGACGTCACATTTTACATTAATGCACATTCACATTTCTGTCATAAGTCGTTTCCTTCCCCGTTCAACTACAAGTATTTTTTCCTCTTTTGTCTGCAACGCCTAAGAAAAAAATGAGGAACTGTTTCGGTTAGGAAGTGTCCGCAAGTGCCGGCTTCGGCTCGGTGGAGAAATCGCGACGCGACATTTGATCCGTGCAAAAACATAAATTTAAGCAAAGGATCGGGCTTTGCAAAAAGAAGAAAAACTCGCCACAACGAAAGATGATTGAAGTAAAGGGGTGTCTTCCTTTGTATGTTGCGATGATTTTGTTTTTTGTCTTGCACGTTGTGAAGAAATTTTGCGGAACTAAGTGCTCAGGTTCCGGGAAGTTTTGGTTAATGTAATTTAAATTGTATTGTAGTATCATTGTGCATTTCATTCGAAATGAAAGGATATGTCTCTCCCATACTCGATAAATGTACATTATTTGAGGGTCCTCCAATTTCTCGAACCCATCTACGCGGAAATGCGAAATTTAAAGGATTAAATATATCAAATCTGAAAACCTCCCTCGTTTTACTCTATTTGTAGGTCAAACGTTTCGTCAAAATAATATTACCTGCAAAGAGCTTGTAAAGGGCCTTTTGAGTCCCTTGTTTGGGGGACTGAGTGATTTTGTTCAAATGTAACCTGAATGAATTTTTGTGATAGAGGCAATCCTCCAGTAGAAATTTTAGTTTGAAATGAGAGCTCGTTTCGGCAATATGGCGTTGCAAAGATTGCCTTGAAAATGCTAATATTCTGAAGTTAGTCGGTTGAAAAATGACCCTCAGGGGTCTCATTTAGTCAATCGCTTTTTAATTTCTGAGGCACAGAAACATCAACTGATAAAGCTAAGACTCAGAAAAAATCAAAATTACCTAAACTTGTTCTTTCCAATTGTAAAAATGTAAAATTTGCAACGCTTTATTGCCCAAAACAAAAGCTTCGAACTTAGATTACCTTGACAAGAGGTTTCGTTTAGGCCACATTAAAGTTAAATCCCTCAGTTTCCTCCCAAAGGAGATACTTTTTTGACAGGCCCTTCAAAGGTCAGCTAAATTTGTACAGTTAGTTTTTCACAATTTTAAACACTTATGTGGTGCATGGGTCAAATTTTTCGTCACGGACCATTTGCGGATCCGGGCGAGGCATTTAAACAAACAGTGGCGTGGCGTGATTTGCGATGTATCGATTATTATACCATTTAAACCTATGGTAAAGAATCGATTATTAAGGTGTTCGCTGCGAACACCCGGTTTATCGATCCTTTTCTATAGGTTTGAATGGCATAACAATCGATGTATCTCAATTCACGCCACGCCACTGCAAACAAAGCCTGAAAAAATGGTGATAATATTCAAATGAGCCGTTACCGGGAGAAAGTTGTTGCCCGGAATACTATCTGGTTTTTTGCGTATACAAAATGTATGAGTTCTCGGAAATTCATGGTGAAAGCACTAACTTCGCTTGTATTTGGTGCACCACATATTATCAGTGGGAATTAGAGTCGTAAGATTGTCTCGCGTGACAGAAGAAATCTAAAACTTTAATTTCATCCAACTCGTTGTTTGCAGTTATACACAAAAAAAGGAACTTTGGGTAACTTTGATTTGAATTCTAACTTGTTTCAATCAATGGCGAGGCGTGAATAATCGATAATTAATATTTTCTCATTGTTAAAAAATCGATTATGAACCTTGTTTATCGATCATTTTCCAAAGGTTTAAACGGCAGATCAATCACTGACTTCAATGAGCGTTGGGAGAAAGGTAGATTTTAGTTCGGGGCAATTAGAAATGAAAATTTTAAAAAATTATCATAGGCTTTATCACACAAACTTCTTTAAATTTTGGATCTAAAAGGTTTGTCTTCCCTCTCGAACAATTTGTTGATCAACCAAGAACTAGTTACTTCTATGATCATAGACAATTGAAGACTCTCACAATTTGAAATAACGCCTGATATGATTAACAGCCCTCTCACGGCTCTCACCCTAATGCTCCTCAAATAGCTAGTCAAAACTGCTGCTAGGCAACTATTCGCGCTCTCCGGTCGTATTTTGCCTACCCCGCCTTTTTCAGGCGCGTTATCCCCGTTTTTCGCTGACTGCCTCTTGTGCATTTCGGCAAAACAATACTGCGTCGACTAGGATGTTTTCATTTCTTATAAGACCTTCATTGTATTACACACTTGTTATTTCGTTAGGATTCTTCCCTGATCGCCTCAGTTGAATGTATTTTCTTCAATTCGAAATAATATTTGTCTATTGTTTCTTCGTGATTATCTTTTGATGAACCATAAGTAAGGCTCTCTGAGACAAATTTTGGGGGAAAGGAGTATGATTGCCCACGCACTACATCTCCCCATGGGATTTTGATTTCGCACAATTATTGACGAAATTCCGTGGGCTCTTGAACAATTCCCTAGAACAAAAACACATTTTAGCCCCCTTTCAAGATTTAGATGGAATGATACCTTCGCAAATCCTCGCAAATCACCTATACTTAAGTTCAGTGCACAAAAACCTGAACCTATTTTAGGCATTCGTTAACTGCAGAGACAATCATACTTAGTTGACAATATTTTTTTTCTTTTGGAAGGGAAAAGAAATTGAGTCATTACCTCACTCTCCCCATCTCCCTGAATCGATGCTTAACAGTCTCAGCATTTTCGCGCCGCAAAAGTTCCCTTTTCTCACGAATTTCTTCAATTTCCAAAATTTTGGGGAATTTATGCTACTTTAAAACTGAAAAATTCCGTCGGAACGATACTCGCTTGACGCTCGCTCCAGATGTGCCGCGCTTGCCGCGACAGCGGTAGATTCACGATGTTTGTCGAGGTTTTAATCAGATTGGCGCGTTTTGTCATCGTCACCTGCAAATGGGTTTTGGGAGTGTGTGCAGTGTGCTGGCTCTCTGTTTATTATGGCGCTTTATCGGGTGATGAGAAGGAGACGGAAGATGCGGTGGGATGCGTGCGAGCAGTGGCGTGGCGTGCTTTGCGATATATCGATTGATAAGCCACTCAAACCTATGAAGAAAGATCGATTATCTGGGTGTTCGCAGCGAACACCTTAGTAATCGATTCTTCACCATAGGTTCAAATGGCGTAACAATCGATATATCGCAAAGCACGCTACGCTACTGCGTGCGAGTAAATAGGAGCGTGTATGAATATTGGAAGTTTTCGACATTCCCCGAGGAAAAGTCATCGACCGGCCTCAGGCTTCGCGGTTCCCGCGTCGCCGCCAGTGGGACAGCATCGCTTCGCGCTTGGATAACGTTCGCCCAGTTGCCATGTTTTTATTATCAGTTCCATGATAGGACAGGAAAAATATGGATTGCATTTTGCAAAAAGGAACCACTAGCATTTCAATGATGCTAAGATTGTGCAACTTCATCTTTCTCAATAAAATTGCGGAAATCGTGAAAAACTATGAAATTTAGATGGTAATTTTTGTCTTAAATTTACAGTTTTTAGCGAGTAAAATAGAAACTATTGATGGATAATCGGGTTTTTCCTCCAAGACAAAAGAAGTTGCACAATCTTAGCAACATTGCAATGCTAGTGGTTCCTTTTTGCAAAATGCAATCCAATTAATGTCAAGTCTCAGATTCTAGGGGAGGGGACACAAAATTCGGTAACTTTCGTAAAAATACGTAGTCGCAAATCGTTTCCTATAAATTTCAACATTTTCAGCGTAATTTTTTCAGAACAGATAGAATTGGTAAAAATCTGCAACATCATGCCTCAGGAAAGTAGCTCAACTAAGAAGATAAAATAAAAATAAAAAATAAATAAAAACTGAGTTGTTATGAGTAAGTAACGCCAACCATAG